TTCTGAAAATAAGTACAAACAGGGCTTCTAGCACAAAGGGCATTTATATGAGTAGGGGATAAATCATATAACCCACTGAGAATCTAAAGATATTCTGTGCACGGTGTTCATTCAAAATTGCAAAGAGTAGAGATAAAAATCTGTAGCAACGTCACACGGCAGCATCCAGAAAAATGCCCTTACCGAAAATGGGAATAGGATCTGCTATGCTGTTCTTGGTACTTTCCGTGAGTATTCAAATCATAACAATGCTTGCAGTCCCAATACTAGAGGATCTCGCGCAAGTTTGATTTGAGGTTAACAATCTCACGGAAAACAGAAAGTTCATGAGATGAGAGTAAGATTCTCCTTCACGTGAGTTGATATCTTCGTTAGCCTTCACTCATTTATTTATTTCTTTTTTCCTTCCAGCAGCTAAAAACTGTGCTGAGCTGTACAAATCCGGTCAAAGGATCAGCGGTGTTTACACAATCGACCCAGATGGTTTAGGCGCCTTTAATGTATATTGTGACCATACAACAGCTGGTGGGGGATGGACAGTGATCCAGAAGAGAATGGATGGCTTTGTTGATTTTAATCGCACCTGGAATTACTACAAACATGGTTTCAGTAACTTAGTCGGTGAATTTTGGCTCGGACTGGACAAGATAAACCGTCTGACGCAAGACAACACAAAGAACATGCTTCGAGTAGATCTGGGAATAATCACTGGCAAAACTGTTAACGCCGAATATAGCTGGTTCGGGATTGGGACCAAGTACCGGGACTAAGTATCGGCTGTACATTGGCAATATCACAATTAACTAAACCGTTTTTCTTTTTAAGCATTCATTGTTCGATTTTTATATGTTACTTTCCTATCGACTTCTACTGCCCCATTCCCACTAAAGCTTGAAGCTGTTTTGTCAAACAAGATTTAAAATTGGTTTCTTCATAGACGCTGCTTAAACTGATGTTTGTCGACTTTAAATTTAGCAAATTAAAAATACAAGTAAGTGGCAACTTGAATCCTATGGAAAATTTAAATATTCAGTTGTCTGTTACTGGCATTTGATTCAATCCCCTCCCCCAACTCCATAGAACCTGCAAACAATGGTTAGTTCTAGTGTACACCCGCTTGACTGTGTTGTGCTGTTCATTCTGTCAATGCCTGGTTGAATCCACGCTCCCCCGTGGACAGTTTGCTTTCGAAGCTGCTTGAGATAGAACAGTCATTGAATTCGAATTTAGCAAAAAGGTCGTAAAATTTGAATATTTATTATTTTGTCCGATATTTTTGTATTTCGATATCTCTCCTACTTCGTCGGATAGTACTTATCGAGTTTGAGGCGTCAAATGTGTTATCTTGATCTTAATGTCATGGAAATTATTTTTCTTTTTGTTTTGAGCAGATGCGACTGTTTCCTCTGATTATCTCAATCCTCAAGAAGATCTCAAATTTGGTACCTGGGATAGAGATCCCGCTAATTGTGCTCAAAAAAGAGGCGGAGGCTGGTGGTTAGCATAATCATAAAATTTGAGTATTTATTATTTTGCCACATATTTTTGTATTTGGATATCTGCCCTACTTCGTCGATTGGCGTAGCTATCAAGTTTGAGGTGTTGTCTTAATCCTAATATTATGGAATTTTGGTATTTATTATTATTATTTTTTAAGCAGATGCAACTGTTTCCTTTGATTCCCTCAATCCTCACAAAGATCTCATTTTTGGTACTTGGGATAGAGATCCAGCTTATTGTGCTGGGAAAAAAAGAGGCGGAGGCTGGTGGTACGGCAGCAGTAGTGCTTGTGCTGTTTGGTCGAATCTCAACGGAATGTATCCACATTATTGAAAGGAAACCTGGGCTAATGTCCATTGGGGAAAATTAGAAATGAAATGAAAATTAGACCAGTGGAATTTTTTGAATTTTTTTTAAACTTTCCAACGGTAAAGTGTGCAAGTAAACAGTGATTTCTGCGTCTTCTGATCGGTTGACTTCGTGTTTATCGCAACTGTGATTTTCAGATTAATGATCGAGTGGCCTTGCTTAAATTATTCTAATGAATTCCATCGAGGAACACCATGGTTAACTGTTTCCCTCGCGACCAGGTATCAAGTTCAATAATTTGCATGCATGGTGATGTTGGTCTTTTCTTACGAACTATTCATTGTTGATTTGAAAACGCTATAATTTAAAACATTATTTCGCTTGTTGTCGAAATTAAACCAAAATATATGTGTATTCGGTTTTTTAATATCTGACAAAGAAATTGATGCGCGTGGTTTAACGTCTACATGAATAAAATGTCCACCCGGACCAATCGATGCTGTTTTGAAACATTAAGAAGTAATTTTAAGATAAGAAAATAACCGTGTATTTTTTTCGACGCCTTTTCAATCTAGAGTTTAAAATGTTTAGAATAGGTAGATTAAAAAAAAAATAACGAAATCAGAAACTCAACCATGGTTGAACAAATGCGATTTTGAAAAGAATATTTCCATCACATCAAAGTGAATTCAGATGGATTTATACTTATGGAACGTTATATGTTACTAGTCGGAGTTTATGAATGTTTTTACTTATTTCTACAGTTTTACGAGTTTTACGAGTTTTGCCAGGAGAAGAAATAGACTGTTATACACTACTTATGCATTTACGTCAATAGCTATGCGATAGTGTTGCCATGGCAACCCAATAGGTCGCACACTGTTTTTTATTTTTTTTTTTTTTATTTCTGTATTTTCCAGTGAAGCTTCTTACGCTCGATTGACAAGCATTTTAGACTGTAAAGGTATCGAGGTCCACGTTCCAGCCTGATGTAAGTTGGGAACATAATTTATCACAAATTGGTAAACAACTTCACAAGTACGTTATTTTGCGTATCGTGTTAAAACAAAAAAACAAAACAAAACAAAACAAAGCGTTATATGATCGGACTTTTCAAAAAAGATGGCGACTGACCTTAAGCTACTTAGCCACCAGTCTGTGAAGAAAAAGCCCGAGACTCTGAGGTAATGTTTTTTATTCGTTTCGCTCTCAATTTAAAACCTCTAAAATACAAAGCCAATAGTTTTGTTTAAAAAGTGCGCAGACTCACCTTGTCTTCGCTTTTTATTGACTAACCTCTTTCACGTTGAGAAAAATTGGGACAGTTTAAGTAATCTTCGATAAATATTAATTGTCATGTTTATTGGATTTAATCTTTCAGTCGGATCGCCTTTGCGGGTTGAATTGCTGCCAGTATGAAGTCGTTGAGTTTCCGATCCATTACGTAACCGGGTTGCTGCCACCTTCAAGTCGCTTCAAGATTGAATTTCTTCTTACAGCATCAACAAATATCAATGAGGGAATTGTCTACTGCAGTTGATCCAATACAAAATTCCCCAAAGTAACACCAAATAGTGGCATTGCAGCCAGTAGGGAGAATTTCTTATGAGATCTTGAGAGAAAAAGGCCGGTAAAGGGGTTATCACGACTGTCACTGCACTGAAGAATCTGTTGAGCATTAGAAAGTGGATCGTGAGCAACTCCAATCTTCTGTCAGTAGGATTTCGATTCCTTAACGCGTTAATAGTATCAAGATTAGCTTAGACATGAGCGGCATGCAGGGAATAGGGTAGGATAAAGTTAAGTGAGATAGGTTCAATGAATCTGAAATTATAAAAAAATTAAGAATTAGATGACCAATAATAAGATTTACGAACAATAAGATTTGACCTTTTGCCATCAGTCTATCTCGGTAGCCTCGGAGGCAAGTTCTCGGCGAAAATGCTTGCTAATGGTAAAATGCACGTGTGTTAGTTATAAGACTCATAGATGACCGAAAAGATTATCTGCGGTTTTTCAAGCTTCAGATGATTTTATTGTTGTTGTTTTTTTATGTTCTTCAGTGATTGACGCCAGTATTAATGGAAAAAATAATTCTTCGGATGCTGAACCACTGAGCTATACGAGACTCGTAGCAGGCGAGCCGTTTAACTTGGTCCATGGCGACAAACTTCCTCTATACTGCTAGGATAGGAATGCTGACATGTGATGTTATTGCACAATAGTGATGTAAACGACACTTGGTCGTTGCGAGTTTCCTGTTTTTTCTTTCACCACTCAAATAGGATACGACAAATGAAGAAAGCATGACGTTTCAGTTAAAAAAAACATCTATCGGCCAATGAGAGCGCGATTACTATGTTAAATTTTTTCACTATGAGTCATTTAGGCGGGTATGCTGACGCTTTTGTCCGTTAGCACCCGAGTTTCCGTTTGTCAATCTAATTTCTGATCTCCCGCAATATCCGCCCACTGAGGTGTAGCAGGAAATATATTATTGTGGAATGCCTCTCAATGCCACCCAAAGGAAGAAAGAAAAAACGAAAAAAAAGAAAAAAAAATTAAAGAACCTCAAGTTTTCAAAATAACTTGTCTTATTAGCATTTTCTTAGTTTTACACGAGGAACTATGGCTGTTATCGTTAAAGCCTTTTGAGAGAAAAATAATTCATCAGGTATCCTATATTAATTTTGTTCCGATATTCCAAGAATTGATACCAGTGTTACTGCGGTTTTTCCGCAGGCTAGGATAGCGTGGCGACTAAGATACATGAACGTTTGAAAAACATCATGGTGCGAAAGCTGTGCTTGACAGGACCCCACAAGTATCATTTCTCGCGGTATGCATGCCCGTGGGGGAGGTAGGAGGTAAGTACTTCTCCGTCAGTCGCATTTTCACGACTGGATTGGCTATAGTGGGGTTGCATTTTTCAGTGGAGTTACTAGAATGCGTTCGCACATTCTTCTAGATTTTGGGGGTGAGAAAAGTCTCGTAAATAGGGATTTAAAATGGAGAGATTATGTTGTTTAACAATCGGTTTGCATCAGAGGTATGCCCCTCACTCTTTCAAGAGGTAATGCAAACAGATATCGAGAGAATGACGCAGATGGATAAACAAAGAAATTGATACTTTCTTATGCGTCTAACATTCTTTGGTGTAAAATATTTATCTAAACTTTTGTTTGTCGTTGACAAGAGCTTAATTGGGTTTGTTTTCGTGTTTTAACTGTCTTTGAAAGCACGCACGCACGCTAGAAACAGTTAAGGATTCGAAGACCAGTGGATGGTCATGGCCATTAGGCTTGCAAGAGAAAGCCGAAAGAGTTTAAGAGACTATAAATGTTTTAGATAAAACAAAGCTTAGATTGGGGTCAAAAAAGAGAGAAAAGAAAAAAAAAGACTTCAATCCGGTCGGATTAAAGTGTTCCGTTTACTAACGCAATAGCATTTCGTCATCAAGGCGCGACTATGATGGTTAAAAGCGAAAAGGTCGACTTTTATAAGAGTCACATTTCAAACATTTAAGTAGTCAACATTCCTTGGTCACAGACACGTTGTACGGGCAAGAGAACTCTGGTTGATTTCGATACGCGGTCGAGCTAAAACGTTGACCAAAATGTCTCATAACATGCAAGCTTTTGACAATACAAGCTCTATGACCGTAAGTGAAGTTTACGATTTGACGCAGCAGAAATACTACTCGAAGAGAAGGTGTCAATGTGCGTGCGGCTTTCTGAATCGAAAAGTTTCTTTCCGAGTCTGGAAAATTTTGCTGTTCCTGTTACTCCTACTGATGGTTATTCTATTGGAGGGTCTATTGATAGCGTTTTACGGTCCTAGTCTCGATCGAGAGATCCTGTTTTGAAAAACTCTGGCAGAGCTGGAACAGGTAACTATATTTTGTTAGCTTCTTGCATTGTTTGCCTCAGAATAATGCAGATAAGGCATTGCCTTGTCTGTATCTCGAATACTCATGGGTGAAGACTTGAAGGACTTGTGGACTTGAAGAAAAGTGATTTTAGATAAACAAAAATTGAAGTGTCTGGCTTTATGTTCGAGTTAAAAAATAATTACCCTCATTTAGTAAAAGATATATGTGTAAATCAGTTAATAAACTTAATTTTTTTTCTGTCCAGGAGATCATTTTACATGCTAAATCCTTGAATCGATTTAATTTCCAACACATCAAAAAGATTTGGAATACGTTTGTCGTTTTAGGTCTTGTGTGATCTGACCAAGACGCTGACTGGAGACACTGAATGGAGATGTATCTGGATATACTCAACAAATTACTTCATGAACAGCAGCCATCATATCTATACCATATCTTGACTTCTGCGGTGAAAAGCACCACTGGACACAAACTTGCATGTGAATTTCTAGTAGATATATCAATACATCAATTTGTTGAAGAATCCTTATATATATTAGCTAGGGTTTTTTTGTTTGTTTTTTTTGTTGTTGTTGTTGTTTTTTTTTAAGGTTAACTAGCCAAGAAGAGAAGTATACTCGACAGATTTTCCAAAGTCTTTGCATAATCAGCTGCTTACAAACACACCTTGTAAAATTTTGTATTGTATTATTTTGCCTTCTATTACACATCGTTGTAAGTTTCTAGCAAATCAGTTCTTGCTCTTAGATCAATGTATAGTAAATTATCAGCAAATATTTACATTTGCATCCCGTGCGAAAACGTATTCAAACATAGAATTAAAAAATTAGTATCGCACTATATTTGCCTGGGTTTGCAAAGAGAATAATGCTTGTGCAAATTCATGTCTTTACTAAACATTTGCAGTATCTGCAAAGGTGAAGGAAACAAAGAGCGCAATGTCACATTTATATCACATGTACACAGAAAAAGAGACAAAAATATGCAAATCTGCACGTTTACACAAATTTATATCCCTAAATTTTCAACAAGTTTGCTTACTTTGCAACCCGAGTGAATCCAGTTTTTCGCATGGCGTATTTCACGTTTTTTCCTAATATAAATGCAGAGATATCTAATCTCTAAAATTCTGAGACAATGAGATCAGGTTTTTGTTTCTTTTTCCTCTCAAAAGCACGAAGCCAAGGATTTGTTTGTAAATGCGCGTGGCGTTTAGAAGAAACTAAGAAAAATTAGTAAAACCTCAAGACATGTTAAATAACATCTTCTATTGGATTTAATCTTTCCGGAAATTCCCTTCAGGGTTTGAATTTCCGAAAGAATAAAGACGTCCAATTTCCGATCCATTATAAGCATGGAATAGAGCCACCCACAAGTCGCTTCAAGCACTATTAAGAGGATCTCCAAGGGGTTCTTATAATGGCTTTACGACTAACGGATAAAAATTTGGCCAATTTACGGCTAACAGTTAATTTCTTTCCATAGTTTTTAGAAGAGCAATTTTTACGATAAACCATTTTTTTAAAGACCTATGGTTAAAATTCATAAAGTTTTAAGCGTAACGGATAATTTTTTCTTGCCGCCGAACGGCCAAAGGCTAATTAACCTCATTGAAACCCTCCATGGATCCTTAAACTCTCATGAGTGACCGAGAGACAATTTTCTGCTTACAATACCAATGCAATATCAAACAGAAAAGTGACGAGAAGAAAAGAAAAATACCAATCAGGGGATTACAAGTTGGTCCCATTTCAAACACTATTCTACGAAATACCACTATAATAATTGTATGGCAGACAGCAAGGAGAATGAATATTAAGCTGTTGGTACTGGAAGGGTTAAGGGTCGTTTACGGCTAACGCTGCTCTGAAGAATCTATTGAGCATTAGAACGTGGACTTTGAGCTAATTTTTTCTTTTGTAATTCAAAGTATTTAGAGTCCTTCACGCGTAAATAGTATCAATAAGACAATTTGGTTTTATCAACCGAGTTGATGATGTAAATCGGCCACCGTGAAGAGTTTCAAAGCTGAGGTTTCGAGCGTGAGCCCTTCGTCATTAGCTCTGACTTAGAGCTAACGCTCGAAACGTCAGCTTTGAAACTCTTTTCGGTGGCAAGTTTGCATTATCAACTCAGTTGATGAAACCAACATTATCTTGTTATACTCCCCCATCGACGCGGCACCACACGGTTTCTTTAAAAACTTATCCCGTTATACAAATAGTATCAATATTAGCTTAGACATGAGCGGCGAGGAGAGAATAGAGTAAGATAGAGTTAAGTGAGATGGATTCAATCAATTTTAAAAAATTCAGTAAGAAGATTTATGAGGCGAACAATAGCATTTGACCTTTTGCTGTCAAGCTTTTTAACTCGGTAACCATGGAAGCAGGTTCTCAGTAAGAATGCTTGCGCGTGACTTACCGTTCAAGTGCTTGAGCTGATTTGAGAACTTAGTTACGCCCAGAAAATAGAGCTTTAGCGGAAGCCAGGTTGGCGGTTTGTAGTTGGTTTAATTTTGTGAGAAAATTTGCATCGCTTGTGAATGAGAACATTGGCATTGACTTACTACCTAAACAGTTTTATTTAAGTGCAAAAGCTGTTTTACATTCTTAAGTATATAAGGGTCTGGGATTGTTTAATCAATAACTGACAGGTCATCACAGGCTGAGCATTTGGAATTCCATATTAAAGCTGTTTCAGCTTCTCTTGGTTTGGCCCGTCTTCATATAACGGTGCTTAAGGTTGGGTGTCCTCTAAGGAACTGATTTAAGCCAAACCCATAAATTGAATTTCTCTTCTCCTTTGTGGGAAATCAATTTAATGACCATTTTATCACTCTTTCCAATTATGATAATCCGCTTTCGTTACAGGACTAGCGCCAGCCGCTCAATTAATTTAATGCTTCATTAGGTCACTTGGGTTTCCTCCAGCCTTAATTTTTTTTTCTTTCACTTTGAATCTTGCCGACTCTTACAACGAAATCGAAAGGCTCTATTTCACAAATCAGGATTCTATGTTACCGTGCGCCTGGTCAGAAATAGCTCACAGATGACGTTATAATAAAAATGCGTAAGAAGGCACAAAAGGCGGGACAGAGCTTGTCATGGATTTGACATCTTCTGTGTACTTTAGCTGATCAGAAGCATGTTAACGTGAAGTCTATTTGCTTTACGTAATAAAAAAGTCTAAAAGTTGTTGATGGGGACGTCATATATGCGTCCGTCCCACAATAGATCAAACCACGTGTAAATTAAGCTTATTATGTAAAAATGAAAAGAGCACTATCAACTTTTTATAGCAGATACGTTCATGTATTATCTCAGTTACCGTTAGCATCTATTTTCTAGTTTGTCAACTCCATTTCCGTTCTTTCGCAATAAACGCCGAGTGAGATCATAGCCGAAAATACAATACTATGCAATGACCCCCCTCCCAAAAAAAACAAAAAAAAAAAGGTAGCTATAAGTAAATAAGTAAATCCCGTTCTTTAATCTTTCTGCTTTCAATCTCATATTTTGTCGATATTTGTTCCAAAAAGACTGACCTTTACTGTTTCTCTATAAAGGGTCTTGATGGGATAAATCGTTAGTCGTAAAAACGCAAACAGTTCAGCCGTTCGGCGTAAAAACTGACAAATTTTAAAGATTGATCGCGAAACAAGGCAACTGCAAAATTTTACAATTACAAAACAAAAAATTAACCGTAAGCATTAACATGGCCAAAATTTTTAACTTTTAGCCGTAAAATCCTTCACCCTAACGAGACTCTTTATGGTCGTAACTTTCCTAGAGGCATACTTCAAGGAAGTGGCATTGAAATAGAGAACTGATTTGCTAAACTACGAACTCCGCAACGTTGACAAGATGAATTATGGGTTAAGCATTTTCAAGAGGTTATAGATTATCTCTTGGCATTTTCTAATTTCACATGACAAACTCAGATCGTAATTGTTTTGGCCTTTCAAGAGTACATGGAGTGATCGGGACTCATTCATAATTTTTTTTTTTTATATATATTCAGGGAATTAATTTCCATGTTAGTACGTGATTGCCCCAGGCAAGGTTTTTGTCGCGACTAAGCAACGACAAAATAAATAAACGTTTTAAAAATGGTACATCATTGTGCGGAAGCCGTGCCTGACAGGACCTCGCAAGTATGTTATTTCTCACGGCGTGCATGCAAGTTTGCCACATCGAGGTCACGCAGCCTGGAAGGGAGGGGTTACTTGGATTCACTTTTGCTGGGTAAGTCCCGCTGGCCACTCACCCCTTACCCCACTATAGTTTATCTTTGGTTAAAATCATACACCCTGTCTTCGTCAAAAATCCCTTTTTAACACTATTTCCTTATTCCCAAAATCCCCAAAATCTCCGACCACATGTTAATAACTCTGTTGAAAATTCAATGCAGTCCATCCAGTCGTGAAAAAGCGACCCCATCTAGCGACAATTCTCAATGTGTATATAGCTTGTAGCCCCCTCCCCCCTCCCCCCTCCCCCTCTTAGGGCGCTTGCCGCATCGAGGTCACGCTGTAAGACGTAAACTGATGGAAACTGATATCAAGGAGACGTGTTTTTGGAAACAGCATTCCACAGATGGATAAACAAAGAAATTGAGACTTTTTCATCGTGTTTAACATTCTTTGGTGTAAAATACACATACAAGCTTTTGTTTGTCGTTGACAGGATCTTAATTGAAGTTTGTTTCCTTGTGATAGCAATAAACACGGTCGTGGACCAGTAGTTTATTAATGGAGAGTTTAATAGATTGAAAATGAAGCGAATGACGGAAACTACAACAAAAGTATAATTTTAGTCTCCCCTCCCAAAAAAAAAAAAAATTGGAAAATGAAAGTCGTCAAATCCGGTCGTTTTCGGATTAAAGTGTTCCGTCTACCAACGTAATGATATTCCGTCATCAGGGCGTGACTGTGATGGTTAAGGGTCGCCTTTTTGTGAGAGTCACATTTCCTCAGTCTTTTGTTACATAAGCGTTGCAAGCAAGAGAACTCTAATTGATTTCGATTCGTGGTCAAAGCTAATACGTTTACGAAAATGTCTACTAGCATGCGGACTTTTGACAGTACAACCACTCTGACTGTGAGTGAAGGCTACGATTTGACAAATCAACAACACTACTCGAAGAGAAGATGTCAATGTGCGTGCGGTGCTTTGAATCGGAAAGTAACTTTCCGTGTTTGGCACCTTTTGCTGTTCTTTTTCGTCATACTGTTGATTATGCTATTGGTGGGTGTACTGGCAGCAATGTATGGTCCCAGAGAGCCAAACTCAAAGCACTCCAAAGTGTATGTAGAAGGTAAAATATATTTTGTTAGCTTGTTGCAAAGTCTGTCTGAAGGGCATGTATCCAATTTCAACGTTTCAGCTAAGGCTACAGCCACGAAATCTAAAGGGAACAATTTAATGCGAGTTAAGATCGAGCATCAAAACTATTTTGAAATCTTTGACCTTACTATATCTAGGTATATTTAGGTATATTGCGCCATAAAAATACAGTTGTCGCGCTATACTCAACTGTTAAACAATGTTTTCACTTCACTTAAAAATCGTGATTGCTTTCTGACGAGAGTCAAAATAGTATCCATGAAAAATTGGGTTTCCTTTATTTGAGCTATTATGTTTACGAGATGACAGTTAAATCGAGTATGATACAAACACATATTTTGTCTCTACAAACACTCCTCGACAGCTCTTCATCTGAAGTAATTTATTTCTGTGGAAATTCTCGGTCGAAAGTCGGGAATTCTACAGAGTAAACAGTATGCTTAATGACAATACTTTGACCGGGAGAGCTGAGGCTAAGTCTGTCGAAAGCAGAATTCCTTTTGCCGAACCGTTTTCATTTGGTCGCAGTTTTCCGGCTGCATCATGAATTGTTCCTCTCATTCATCGACGGGAAATTTATAAATGTCTCAGACAACTGTAAACTTTATTTTCGTAAACACCCCTAGGGGAGCGAGAAATATTTAGTTTTCCGTGGTCTCCATTTTCATTGATTCGCTCTGTTTTTGATTCTTACTCCTTTAGAGTAATAGTGATATAGGAAGCGCCATTTGCAACTAAAGTCATAATTAAAAAAATATGCAAATAAGGACAAAGGAAAAAGATGTTTGCAAGGGAAACGCTTATTCTAAGGGTCAAAAATTTGACCCATCTCTTTGGGACTCCAGTCGGAAATCATGACATATTCCATTGAGTACAGTCACGTATCAGCTTTTTACGTTTTCCTTTCATTACAAATGTTTAAAATATACCCACATAATGTTTCCTTCATACTTTGCATCGAAGTTTTAAGTGAAAGTTCTTTATCCAGGCTTTCTACGCCAACAGTGGAGACACATACTGGAATTGAAAAAAAGGCCCTTAATAACAAGATTCCACGTTTTCATCACGTTTTATCACGTGAGTTCATGACATGAATTTATCTCTGTAAAATCTACACGAATGATACACAAAATTAGATTTCCTACTAGCTCATGTTCTCTTTTAGATATCTTAGTAAGGTACAAAACTGCTAATTTGTAGATCAAGGAAACTTTTACGTCCAAGACATCATCTAAGTTTATTATCTTCTTTCGTGCTCACTCGGTGGTCGCTGAACAAACAGGAAATCGGCAATTTATAAAGAATTCATTTCAATTAATTAGGTGATAAATAATCGAGAATTATTTGCTGCTCGCAAATTTTACTTTTTCGAAGTTATAGCCTCTTTCTGACTTTGAAATAGGTTGAACTGGCGGGAAATCGAGGTTTAGGAGGTTTGTGAGATGAGATTGTCATCCAATATCACCCTCACATTCTGTTACGTCATCACTTTGTATGGGGGCCATCTTTTGCCGGTAAATCAAGTCATTCATAAAATTAAAACTATTTACTTCAACGCGTTGTATTAACATAATACTGACCAAATGATAATCAGGTGATAATCTCTTGAACTAAAGTTATGACGCTGAAGAGAAAAAATTAGATGGCTGAGCAAAATACAATGATTTTTCCTTTATTATACCTTTTTTAAAAATTTATAGCTTATTTTCGACATTTCGCGCATTTGCCTCAATCGCGCATTAATTTATTTATGATTAACCATTTAACTCCTTAGATCTGAATGTTGATACTCCCCTCTCGCTGCTACACATTTCCTTGTAAATTAGTTTCAAGAAAATAGCATCGGACCAAGATACGAACTTTGAATTCTATCTACGAAGTTTGATTGTTCTCATCACCTAATAATTTATGAATATTTAGCGAGACGTTACAAGTTAATCACTTCTTGTAGTTTAAGAGTCAAAGCAATCCAGGCATGCCCTCCCTACCAGCACTATTTATGTGGGTAACCAAAATGTTCCTATGACGCCTGCCACTGCAAATTTCGTCTCTTACATCGTAGCATGTTTCAGAAGACTGGACACAAACGTTGGCCCGTCCTAAACTTCCTCTACATTTTAAACTGAGCTACTATTGCGCTGCGATCTCTCACTGCGACAGGCTATGACAGGCCTTATTTATCAGGGTTAAATCATTTATCTTGGGAGATAAAGACTAATGAAAATGCTTTTGAAAAAAAGGGGCATAAACGTTACAATCAATCAATCATAAAGCTTTCTTCAGAGACGGCGTTTACACGTAAGACGCATACTCAGGCAAGAAAACTCGTGACTCGCCTCAAAAGAAATTGGGCTTTTTGATTTCGAGAATACCGTAACCATAGATTATGGGCGTTTTTGCTTAATAAAACCGTGTCTTTAAGCGTCAAGAAAGCCTATACTTTGATGCTTCGGTTGTGTCAAGGTTGAAACCAAATCAAGACAACATTAGAAGCCGGTATGTTACAAAACCAAAGCTATGCAATAAGTTGTCATATTATCCTTCATTTATTTGAGGACACTTGAGAAAGATGGAAACAAGCGCCAATGTGGCGGCCTTTGTTTTCTTAGACATCTCAAATTATACCAATTTACATTTCAAAATCGTGACTCCTTGATGAATTCATGTCAGTTTTAATACAATATTGGTATGTCAAAGGCACTCTTCAAAATTAAACAAGTCTCCTATGTAAAGTTAGTGTCAAAGAGATTAACTAAGCTAACGCTGTTTTATGTACGCTCTACATGCATACACGTAACATCTATTGTGCGACCTGAGCTGGATTTGCGTGAAAACGCCGTGACCACGATAGTTCTTCAAATATGGTCTGTTTCAGAAGTAGAAATGAGAGACTATAAAAAAGCCTTGTGATGTTTGAAAAGGAATGCTGCATTGAGCTAAAAAGGCAAAGAGAAAAATTAAAATAATTTAGAAGTATTCCATAGTTGTTTGTTTACAATAGTTTCTGCCTGTCATCTGGGCGGAGAAAGCGCGCTCCATTCAAATCAAAAGGGTTATCGCCTAAGAGTCGGATTTCTTGCGACACTATTAATAACGTCAAGTTCAGTAAACTCTGTTTAGATTTGAGTATAAACTGCATGAAAATGTCTAACATTCCGACATTCGACAGCGAAGAAGGATACGACGTCACGAAACAGGAGTATTATTCGAAAAAGAGATGCACTTTTTTGTGCTGTGATTGCTTCCATAAAAAAAATATACATTTCGCCTGTGGCATATTCTGCTATTCCTGTTTATAATAATCGTCATTATTGGTGCACTAGCAGTTATAATCGCAATGTTTAGCCCTGCAAGAGGTCCAGATACGAAATACTCGAATAAAATCGGATCAGACACTCTTGAAGGCGGCTGTAAAGGTAACTGTACGCTGAGGAACCAGCAATTTTGTGTAATTATTCATAATTGTCATCAAGGTGGCGAATGGTCCAAATGCACGCCTCTCTTGTTTTTTCTGCCGGCCCGGGTCTACCTTATCCAAAAAAAAAAAATTGAAAACTGTGGACTGATTAAAAAAAATAATAAATAAACCGATTTCCAACGTTTTGACCATTTCAAGACGTGATTACCGGCATGCACGACTTCTGTAGTTCATTAGGTAAATTATTGTAAGCTTTTAATTTACTCTGCCTCGGCGTTTTATATTCTTGGACAGGCTCTTGTTTCACAAGCTTTCCATAAGCGTGGATGTATAGGACTGGCGATGTTTCGTGATTTCAACTTTGCTTGCTCAGGATACAGTGGATGCTAGGACAATTCTGTTAGAAAATCAAGAGCTCGAGATAATTTCCAAACCCCCAAACGGGATAAATGGTCAAGAAAAATTCAACAGCAACTAGAAAGACAAAAAAACAAACAAGCAAAGAACAGTTTCATAGTTCGCGATGTTTGTTCTTCTTGAAATTTTTCACCGCAAAAGTGGAAGTCCCTTGCTACGGGAAATAATACAAAATATGTTGACTTGGAGCTGACGTAACGTGGACACGAAGGAATGCTGTTTCATGTCAGACTTTTTGTTGAAAGCAGAGGCGGGTGCATACGAAACCGACCTTTGAGTTTTCATCCATGTTTCATTTTGGCTTTAATTCCGTTTCTTAAAATCAAGATGTATTCTACGTATATTAAATAAATCATGATCAAATGAAATGTGAAAATAATTCAATTATCGAACTTTCAACGTCAAAACTAATTATAGCTTTGACACAGGAAATTGTCTTTAAATTGTGGTCACGTTTCAATGTTGCAGAGATTCAAACTGTTATATCCTAAAACGTGCTGAATAAAACTGTAGATGATGGGTTTTATTATGATTTGCAAAGACAATCAGTTATCTCCGACAAGAAGGAGTTACGTAAGGATATCGTACATTACCGTCAGTGAATGAAGATTACCAGCATGCATCGCATAGATTACTAGATTAGAATTGGAGGTTGTGAACTGCTCCGAACCAAAACATTGCGCAAGTATTAAGCAAGGTTAAAACAAAAGTTGTCAATTCTGTTGCATTTTCACTGAGAAATTCGTATTTCAAAACGATTTTGTTCTCGGTAAAATTTAGGGTGATAAAGATAAACTATTCCAGCATGATATTTGCCTAAATATGCTTTATTTGCCGATGACATTTCCATTCTTATTACACTGAATCTCAAGAAACAGAATTAATTTTGTGAATTTGAAATTTTAATGTGAAGCACCTTAAATAATATTTACTGTAGACATTAAGCGGTGGAAGACTGAGAAGCTTCGTTTGGGAAAACGTTCTCAGACAGATCTGACAATACCTGCAGGACGTAACACCAGGTCCTGTCACAAGGAAAACGTTAATCAACTCAGCCGTATATGCGTGACCAATGTAGTTGTGTACGTTACAATGACACTTCTTTTGAGATTTGGTGTAGGAGTTACAGATGACTATAAGATTGTCAAAAATGTTTCAAAAAAGAGCACTGTGGTTTTTGGTGGGGTAAATAAAAAACAGCCATGTTATTGAGGCTGAAGGATGTTTTCCTTCCTGTCATTTGGTGGCGAACTCAGTCAAAGAAGTGTTATCTGTATGACGTAGTTTAGAGTGAAGCTATGATGAGGAGGTTCGACCCTTCGAGGCCTGTAAGGACACTACACGGAAACTGCAATGACCACTAATGAAATAACTACCAAGCGCACATTCGACAGCTCGACAACCCTGAGTATATGCGAAGAGGGCTTCGAGGTCACGAAGGAAAAGTGTTTTTTGCAAAAGACATGCACTTTTCAAGTATGGCATATTCTATTATTCTTGACTATGATACTCACCATTACAGCAGTTGTGGCGGGTGTATCGGCAAAGTATGCCCCTGGATCAGGTACTGCAGCGATGTTTGTACTTTAACTTCATTTGAAATCGTTTTTTTTTCTTTGAAAATAGTTGCAATAATGACAAGTGAACCAAATGCCACATACGAGATAACACTCTCTTTTTCCTGTTGGTGAGAATCTCAATACAGTCTGAAAATATCGTAATAGAGACTTAAATTGCTTCGAGACCAGCGGTCCGAGTTGTTGTTACTAAGCGAAATTGTTATAATTGTGATGCGATGCGTTAAAAAACAAGACAATAACTGAATTTTGAATTAATGTAGCTCTACAGCTTAAAACTCCTTCCAGTCTATCCCGACTTATCTCGAATGAAAAACTACACTTGTTGAACGGAAATCGATCGGATTTTCATGAACAATACTTTTAATGAACTATAGTTTGATTTTTCAACCTTTCTTTTCTGGAAAAAGTAAATTTTCAGTTTCAGAAATGCATGGAGACACCTTGTGCGGGAAAATTTCTTCCCGAAAACTACTCGTCATTGCGATTGACGCGCAATTTGGTCACCGATCTCATGATCGCCGCCTGCAAAGCAGGTTAGTCAAAGTGTCGGTTCAGTTTCGTTTATGCCAAGCTTTCTCTAATCGCAATGATCAATTGCTTCTTAGCATGGAAGATGGAGGAAGTTGCCTGTAGTTAGGAGATATCTGCAATTACAATTTACTCACTGTTTTAAATTGCGAAAGATCGAAATAAATGGGCGTGATGGGGAGTTTCACGTCAGCATATTCTTTAACATTATGAGGACTACTTAAACAATACCGACAGAACTTTCGCAACAGCTAAGGAAACTGAATCACTATCTAGCCAACGACTACTATTAGCTCATGGCTCGAAATCGAAGACATCATGGCGGCTAAGCATGCGCATAAAAGACTAATTAAGGAGTTTAAATATGGCGGCTGCATAATGCTTTCTGTGGGAAAATTTTGAAAATCAGACACAGTAATTTTCTGGAAGCGTGTACTAAAAACGCCCTCGTCTGAAATGTATAAGAAGAGTGTCCAGATCACCCACCTCCGTTCTCAAACTCTTACGATTTCGCTACGATCTGCCCCAGTCGAAGAAACTTTAAACCTTTTTGGTGCCTTAAGTGTCTTAAAATGGCTTATTTTGGTCAGCTAAAGCTTCTCCTGCAGCCACAACAAGGGTTATTTTATCAATTGCCCACGTCTGTTCGATTTCTTCGAAAGCCGACCTTCTAATTGAAGGCTATTTGAAGTCATAAAAGTGTGAATCCACGCTGCCAAACGACTTCCACGACTCCAAAAAATTTTTTTTTTCTTATGGATCTTGTTCCCAGTAGAGACGTTGACTCAAAAACTAAAATTAAAAGATCTGAAAACATATTAAAGAACTCTTCGATCGCCATTTTGTAAAAACATAGTAACCTAGCCTGTTATGGACAATACCGCTCCAAGGCAGCTACTGAAGGCTCAAAGATTGACATAGATTGCAGCATTGGCGCGAAAATAATTTGACTTGAAAAACAAAATAGTAAGCTTCTTACTTGGACAAGATTTTAACAGCTTCTCAAGCAATATCTCGGAAAGAAAATAATAAAGAAGTTATCAGCGCTGCAAAATGTCTGATACACCTCCATTTGATTCATTTTTAAAATGGAAGTTGGGGATTGAAAGTCCCTCTTTAGCCTATGCTGCCAAGACAAGGAATATCATCTTAGCTGTGGACGTACCCTACCCTTTGCTGAAATTGTGGCATGATTTTATCAAGACACAGAAAAATGATAGAAATCACACCTATGGCAATGGAGAACCATCTTGTTAAACCCCATCAAATTTGCACATGCACGAGTCAAACATGAAATTATCTTATACTTATGTTGATCTGTTTGATTACTCTGTTCCAGGAAATGCATTTGCAATTAGCAGTGATGAAAAAATTAGACTAGAAGTTAATGAATCTTTAAGAAAAATTTGTGGAAAAGTACAAAGTGAATATCTTATGTTTGATTCTAGTGGGATGCGCAGACGCAGTAAGGTGAAACGCAGCTCGTGTTGTGTCTGCGACATCAGCCGCTGACTGACCTAGATTTCTAGCCATGTGTTCAGGCGACAACCGCGGAAATTCAAACTTTGCTATGATAACTAAAGCATCTACTACACCTGATCCAAAACCAATCATAAGAAATTAGAAATTACAAATACCACTGCAACTCCATTTTAGGGGCCACAGGCCAAATCCCTCTCCACCCCCCCCCCCCCCCATAAATATATACTTAGACCTGTATGGGTAAAGTATGGGCGGGATGATGCGCAACATTGTCCTATTTTATGTCGTTATTTCAGGAAACGAGGCTGTGAAGCGTCAAATACCGCATCGTTTAACATTTATAGCCGTCGGAGTCATTTATTGTTATCTTGGCAATGAGGGCAAATAGAGAAAAGTTATTTTATTATAATTTTTCTTAGAAAAAAAGTAAAACAAAACAATGTTACACGAATGTTGAACTTCTTCTATTATTTCATCAGGTGATGAAGAGTCCACTACAGCACCAACAGAATCTTCTGGCACAACTAAAGAAACGGACGTAACCACAAAAGAGAAACCAACAGAACTTCCGATCACATCCGAGGGAAACAAGCCAAAACCCAGTCAGACACCAACAACTCCTCAGGAAACAACGGTGAAAACTGAGCCTTCTTCTACTACTACTGAAACAAAAGCCAGTGTTACTACTACAGCACAACCAAAAACCACAGAAAAACCAACAACTAGAGCACAACCAACAACCTCACAGAAAGCAACAACTACTTCTCCATCAACAACCACTGCTCCAACAACCACAGATAAAGCAAACTCACCAACATCCACTGCTTCAACAACCACAAAAAAACCAACAACCACGGAAAAAGCAGCAACTACCGCTCCACCAACAACCACTGCTCCAACAACCACAGCGCAACCAACAACCACAGAAAAACCAACAACTACCGCCCCACCAACAACCACTGCTCCAACAACCACAGCGCAACCAACAACCACGGCAACAACTACTGCTCCACCAACAACCACAGCGCAACCAACAACCACAGAAAAACCATCAACCACCGCTCTGAAAACCACAGCACAACCAACAACTACAGAAAAACCATCAACAACTGCTGCTCCAACAACCACAGCGCAACCAACAACCACAGCACAACCAACAACCACAGAAAAACCATCAACAACTGCTGCTCCAACAACCACAGCACAACCAACAACCACAGAAAAACCATCAACCACTGCTGCTCCAACAACCACAGCACAACCAACAACCACAGAAAAACCATCAACTGTTGCTCCAACAACCACAGAAAAACCATCAACTGCTGCTCCAACAACCGCAGAAAAACCATCAACTGCCGCTCCAACAACCACAGAAAAACCATCAACTGCTGCTCCAACAACCACAGATAAACCAACAACTACTTCAGCTACAGCTACTGCCGCATCAACTGCTGGGCCAACAACGGCAGCACCGACCACGGGCCCTCAAATAAATATTTTAGAGTGCGACACAGCCATAGTTGGAGCAGGTGAGAACTGGATACCACCGTTTGGCATCAGATTCTGCAAGGGATAGTTACTCTTGATTAACTTAAACGTGAACCATTCAAGTCTCTTAACCCTCTATTTTATCTACTTGCCATAAATTTCTTTTTAAGAAAGTGAGGAAATTTGTCAAATCAGGATAACACTTTCAGATAACACTCTTGTTACGTTTTCAGATAGTGTATTAATTTTGTCATAGGAAGTCAGACATTGCACCAGTAATCCTTTTGATAATCTCTTTAATTCTTTAAAGTCTATTTCCTTAATTTATAGGTGCGGGTGGCTTATTGGTGGCATATTCACTTTTTGACAAGACGAATGAAACAAACGTCTGCGTCTTCGACACAGAGGACAGCGTTGAAAACATTTATGACCATGTTTTTCCCCAGGTACCGGATGTTGTAGTAGGTAAGTTAACATAACACCAAGAGTCAAGCTTTATCTATGTAGTAATCAATAGCTATGTTTTAGTTAGCGACTAAAAAGCTATTGTACATCGTTTACTTGCTTCACCAACGTATAAAGACAACGTTTCCCCTTTTTTTTTTCAGGCTTAGGGCAGTGGGACATTTCCGGTGACAACTATGCAGAACAGTAAGCTTCAATTTCTCTCAAACATATTACCAAGTTCGTATCAATAAACATAAATCGTGACAGGTTTTTTGAAATGCTCGAAGGCGCCAAAGAATTTTTAAGAGTAAAAAACTACGTCGTTATATGAGAGCCATTTCACAGAAATTTTCTTGAATATAAATTCTAACCATGAAATGTGTAGATGTAGTATAAGGGTACCCAAGCATAGATGAGCTACCAGAAAAGAGCTGATCTCACAAATGAACTGCGGCCTGCACTCATTTGTCTTATATAGACTTCGAAAATATTGGAACCCATTCCCCACTGATATTAATTAGGCGTCATTGCTAACTGAGTAACATCTTGAGAGTGAGGTAAATTCTCGTTACTGTCGTATCATGCGCATCTTGAACTCTGATTTGCTTCATTTAACCATGAACATTGAAGAATAAAGGAAAGAAGACAACAGAAACGAATAAGGAGGCAAGCCAGTAATGGAGACGATAATATCGCATCGCAAATCAAAATCATAGAGAGATTATGACAGAATGTAAATTCGAACGAATTGTGACGTACACATAATTTTGAAGGAATTGATTCAATTGGATTAATTTCTGTTTTCATTTTCAGGGACCTTGTACGTCATTTATTCAACAGCAGTGATACCTTGTGGGATCCAAAAACTAAACGTGTTGAAGCTCGTGGACAGTTTGCAAATAGCTTTGATGATCTGAAGTTTAAAGCATTTCCAACTTTACGACACCGCACGCCACTCCACAATAAAACACTCACGGAAACTGCAGCTTTCATCTATAATAATAAGAGGAATTTCACGCAGTTCTCAACCGCGGAGACTTTCCTTTCGTACGAACTGTCCCCGGAGGGAACCAAGCTTATGGCAGAAAAGTTTGGCTTCAAAGGTCACTACATGCAAGCCATAAATCCAATGAGTTATAGAACTTATCTTGAGAAAGAATATCATATTAACACCGCATCAGCAGATGCGAAAAGGCCTCCTAATTCCAAAGGAATCTCAGAAATTGTCAAAGAGCTCACTAAAAAAGTGGAAAGTGGAGGCGGTAAAATTTATCGTAAAGAGACAGTTGCTTCGATCAACAGAGAAGGAGATAAATTTCTTCTTCAAACTACAAAATTAACTGTGAAAGCCAATAAAACAGTTATCACCGTTGGACCAGCTGCTCTGAAGAAGATCGAAGGTGACGTCATTCGAAATATCACAGGCCATCAAATATTCGAATCAATTGTTGGTGTGCCTGCATTCTATGGGGCAGCGGTATATGATAAACCATGGTGGAATGACACAACTGCCACTCAAAAGGGCAACAACTTGGAGCCTTTGGAGAAGTTCATATCCAGCGGTTACTGCCTGGGAATTACCATGCCTTACAAGTTAGTACTCATAAATCTTAGCAACCTTCCATAAAATTTCAAAAGAATTAATAATTCGTCGATCAATTCTAAGCCTCTATATCTTCACGGTGGTTCTTCCCCCCCCCCTCCCCCACCGGGTATTTGAACTTTCTAAGAATGGTTTGCACAAATTCCCGCCCCCCTGGGCCAGAACTACGTTCAAATGCTCCACTCAAACACAATTTTTCTATCTAACGATTCTTCGTGTGATAAACGAATGTTGTAGAATAAAGCGGTCACGTACATAGTTTTTGGGCCGCTGTTGGATTTTTTTGCTTGTACGCATCATTCTGCGATGTGAGAGTATTCTGCTAAGCTATTCGCCCACGAAAGCGGACTCTTAACTTCTAAACTCCTCCTATAAAATCAAAGCATGTATTGCACGGATTTAAATTACACATCCTACACAGACAAGGTTCGAATTCCCCATGGGTTGCCCCGGGAGATGTTGAAACATCGAATTGGTCGGTGCATAATTTCCCTCTGCGTAAAAAGCTGACTTCTACAATGTTCTCCAGTATATCTTATGGACTAGCAAGTTTAATTCCACTTGTGAAATAGCATCAAAAGTCTTGCCCATTTACACTGAAAAAGGGGATTGTAAATTGGGAAACTGGGAAATATCACACTGATACTCCCGAGCTAGACTATGATGAAGCAAATTAAGCCATGTGATGTTTTTTGAATATCGCGCTCGTGCCGAAGTAATCAGTGAACTAAATATTTTATTGCGACTTGTCATTCAAAAGCCTGCTCCTGTTCCTTATATCTATGATAGAGGTAGTGGAACCAGCGGAAAAGTGGTCTTGCACACAATAGCTAATAACGGAGGATGCAGCGATATGTGGGGGAAACTTTTGGAGATTTCTACATCTAATGATGTTATCGACAAAGAACTAAAACACGCTCTGAAGTACAAGTTTCAACGTGATATTCCCGATCCTTTGGAGACTAAGTACAAATATTGGAAGGAAGGGTTTTGGTAAGTGCAGTGTTGAAAGATTAAAAAAGTATAATAATCAGTTATTATTGCTTTTGTTTTATCAAAAACGGTATTTTTGATAATGGTGTTCTTAAGACAGTTTTTCTCTTGATTCTTAAGTTGTAATCTATTTTTCTCGTCAACAGCAATGATCTGCGTTTCGTTTCGTCTAAAAATCCATGCTCTAAGTTTACGGATTTGTACGCTGCATATTCACTGCAGAGAAATGTGAGATCATATCTTCTTCTGTATGGTCTTTCTCATTGATATCTGCTGAACGCAATGAGTGTGGATGTGGACGAACGAGCGGCCCTAAATTTTCCGCCTGCAGTCGTTTCGTTTCGCGGATATTTAATGGAGAGCTCTTGAGAAGAAGAAAGAGATCCGTTGTCAACGAGCGAGTGTCAACTTTGCTCACTTTTGACACGTTCAATTCTGCGCCATTTTTTTTTTGTTTTGTTCTGTTTTGTTTTGTTTTTTTTTTTTAATGAAGAGTTCTAATTGTTAGATTTCATAATTCAATGACGTAGGTTTTTTCAGAAGCCTGGGGCCAACATTAGCTCAACGACCATTCGGCAATGGGCGAGACGGCCGCTGATCGGACAAGATGTGTTCTTAGTGAACAGAGCGTATTACGATTTCGGTGGATATTTGGAATACACCATACGATCTGCTTTTGAGGCCGTACAAGAGGGTTGGAATTCTGAGCTTGTAATTGATGTATAAGATCCGTAAAAGCCCTGAATACTTAGATTTTCTGGTTGATAATGATGGCATGAAAAGAAAATTACGATCTGCTCTTGAGGCCGTCAAAGAGGGTTGGAATTCTGAGCTTCCATTTCATGTAACGAGCTTCTGACTACTTGGATTTTATGGTTTATGATGTCTGGCAAGAAAAGAACATTATATTTTTGTAAAAGATGCGAAGATTATGACTAAGAAAGTATTTAGTTTAGGTGACTGAGTCGTAAAGTTTGTTTAAAAACGTCTATCTTTTTTTCTGGCGCATGCCTTGTAATTCAAATAATATGCAGATTCAATTAAGCATTGTAAATAGTTTTAATTCTTATGTATCCCATTCAAATAAGACCTCTTTATTGACGTCAATGATAATCATTTAATTTTTCCTCGATTATTTCTATTGAGGTATTTTATGTGGCTTTATCGGATGTCAGTATGCAAAGAGAACAATCAGTGTAATCAGTGTGATCTTCCTGCGTTTATAAAGAGATGTAAAACTAATTCATTCGTCAGGGAAAGAGGAACATCGTTATAGAGTATAACTGATAGATTTAAATAATTCATAAAGTATTCTCATTCGTTACCTGTCGTGCAAGTGTCTCGTTAGTTTGTGTGTTTGCACTTTAAGAAGCTCTTATTTTGAAAGCGGCTTAAGTAGCGTTCATGCTCGGTTTCGTTCGCGGAAGGGTGGCCATGTTGGGGGAAAGCTCTCCCTTTTCGAGAGGTGCTGCATAATGAAGACCGAAGACCGACGAATTTTAACGTAAAAAGGCATGAGGATGACGGCTGACTCATGATACGTTCGGCACCATGCGCTGTGTACGTGTTAGGCGTCGAAATGGCATCTTACCGTAACAAGGCGTTAGTGCCAAACTCGTACTCATGGTTTGACTGGTACTTAACGACGCATGTGCAAAGCATAAAATTTATGTCACTGGCTTTAAATCATATTGAAAACCTAAAAGAAAATACTAAACTAAACCAAAATGTAAAAAACCTCCAATGAGCTAGCATACTTTATGAGGTGACCTTATTAAGTGCCATTTAGCTGTCTTTTGTCTCAGTTGAATGAATTCAAACTTACAGTTTGTATAATTGGGTTACCATGTCTAAGACTCTCTATCTTACAAATATATTTAGAATTTATTTGAACGTTTTCTAGCCTGATGTTTGTTTGTATCAACGTAAAGTTTCCAACCCATATTCATTGTACCATTTATGTTCATGCCATGGAAATGCAAGTTTCTCCATGACAAATTTTCATATTCGTTCATCCTTCTCCATACTTCCCACTTAACACAAGAAATAACATGGTTCGAGATACTGTGTAATGAAAATTTAAAGTCCACACAAAACAAAATACTTGAGACATACATGTCTTATTATGTCTCGCACGCTCACTAACATATATTTCTTGTGCGGTGTTTCTTTGCAACCAGGATTTGATTTCCCCCTCCATTTCTAGTTTGTAAAGGAGACTTCTATTTTCAGTCAAACTTACCTGCCATAGCGCAAAGGATACGTTTGCCATTCTTCTTGAAATAGGGCTGACAAACTGCTGTGATGCATGAGCCAATGTGCAAAAAGTAACATCTATGGTGATTAAGATTAAAAACTCTTTGATCCACTGTCCTACAGTGTTCCTAAAAGTCAACAGAAAGGGAAGATAAAAAGTTAAAAAAAAAAAAATTAAATGATTTCACAGGCACACAGAAAACATTTTGAATGGAACACTAAACAATTTGCTTTTTTGCATAGTATATTGATTAGACTTTTTCTGGTTTAACATCAATATGCATATTCCCCCTTCTCTAATCTATACATTTCATTAAGCAATATAATAACATAATAATATAATAATATAATAATAATAATAATATAATATAACAAAGAAAATTTCCTTTATTCTCGTGACCTTGATGTGTGATTCAGGGCCATATTGATCAGCATTTTTTTTTTTTTTGGCGCGGTATTGAAAAATCACTGAGTGCCAGGAAGATTTTGTTTTGCAAATGCCTTTTGGTAAAATCCGACAATCAAATAGCTGCATAATACTTGAGTATAAATTTATGTACAACTTTCTGCTGCCATGTAGCTGAGGTTTATTTTAAGTAACACTGCACCTTACCGATAACATTAAAGATGGGGAAAATAAACACATTTAATAAAGCATTTTCCTTCGTATTCATTTACTAAATATACTTTGCACAAAGCGCAGGAAATGGCATTTCCGAGACCCTTAATTTGAAAAATTTTGGGGGAGCATGCCCCTAGATCCCCCGAGTTTGGAGCGCCGCTCAATATTTTCTACTCGTCCGTACACCTTAGAAATTTCACGTTACGCCCTTGCGCTTTTCGAGATGATTTTGAAAAAATCTAAAAACATTGAACGATGCAATAACCAGCTGAGCAGTTATACGAAACATTAAAAAATATATATACTAACGGTTTAACAATTCATCAGCGGCGTTACGATAACGAGGTATTTCATAATTTCGTTCGTCTATTGACGTATAAGCAATTTCATCACGTGGAAGCCACAAAGTTTGTGGCATGTGCTTTATTATAAATATCTCAATGACAACGAGATTTTGTGAATATTATAATTCCCCGCGATAAATATGCAATTACTGAACTAGAAGTAGGGAATTACAAAGGAGTACTGAACTCTTTCCGTTACGTCTGGCTTCTCGGTTTCATTTCTAAATGGCATACTGCTGGTATATCGGGAATTCCTAGGTGTAAGCAAGGACACATTCAAAACTTCAATAGGTATTAGATCGCACAGTGCGCCGAGACTTTATCCTCTTTTGTGAGAAACTAGAATCGATAGTCAAAAACGGCCCATAATAATGTTAATCTTGAGAAAACTACCAGTTAAATTAAGAAAATTAGCACAAAAGTCCTCTACATAATTACAATTTTGCAGTCGAAAAAAGCTATAGATCTGGAAACTTCTATCGAAAATCCTTAATCTAACATGTCCATTTGTGACTAAAGATTTCAAACCGAAAACCAAATGCATTGAATGATGCTTATTTGGAAAGTACAACTGCCATGAGAGAGAAGCAAATCCTTGAAAAATATCATGAGAGAGAATGGTTTGAGAAACGAGGAAATTATTCGTACCATTATTATTCGCGAATATGAAAGCTATTTCGCAGTAATGTGCACTACTTGAGCAGTAGTAAAAATAAGGCCTGGAAAAAATTCAGGCCTGTGCGGAGAACCCATGACCCCTACGAAACCGGTGCAGCGCTTTACCAACCCAGCCAACAAGCCAACTGGGAGCTGGTCATTATGATGGTTCCAAATAAACCCGGTCGTCTCGGTTGGTAGAGCGCTACGCCGGTGTCGCAGGGGTCATGGGTTCGAGTTCCGTACGGGCCTGAATTTTTTTAGGCCTTATTTTCACTACTGCTCAAGTAGTGTTCATTACTGCAAAGATCGCTTTCATATTTGCGTCTTTATCTGCAGTTCAAATATATGACTTTCATATATTCATAGTCGTTTATTATCATTATAATTATTATTTCAATGCACCAGTAGATTTTATAATTACTATAACAACGAAAAATATGTATATTTGATTGACAAGAGGAACGGAAAATAGAGGAAAATTATTGAAAACGAGATTCTTCCCTCTAGGAAACCTACGCAGCCAGAATTAGCGAGGATATTAAAGATGTAAAAGAACGAAAACCCTAAGTTCCAAGAGGAGAGGGCAAATACTAAGGAGAAATCTTTCGGCTCCTTCTTGGCAAAAGCCAGCACTCCAAATTAAAATTCAGTCTGAAAACAGTGGAAAAGAAGAGCCACCTAGTGGAATATCCATAGTTAATTTTCCATTTATAATTATTATTACTATTATTGCTATTATTATCATTTTTATTATTATTATTATTATTATTTTTATTACTATTATTAAGCTCCTTCCAACACAATGTGCCAAAAAAGTAAAACTATGCCATTTTTTGTATTTTACAGGTTGTAGAATAAAGCATGAGGATTAATATCCGTACTAATCAGTTTAAAGGTGTCTGTGGAAAATAAAAGTGCTCTGTGAGCAAACTCGTGAATTGACACGATTTTTTGGATTATGTTTAATGTTATCTGGTTTAGGGAATTTTGTGGTTGATTGTCATATCTAGAGTACGAGGTTTTTGGTTCAAAAGAAAAGGTTGGAAGTAAATGTGGGTGAAAAGTGAAATTTACTGTCTATCATTGTAAATATTAAAAAACCAAGGCAATACTGTCTTAATCAAAACATTAACGATTCCCTCTTTATCAAATCAGACAAACGGGAACGAGTTTTGAGTGATATAACTAAGCTAAGACTGCCACCGTCATTTTGGATCTCCGCCTGGGTAGATTTAAGTCACGTGCTAGGCAACGTATATTCAAAAACAAGATAGAATTTCATTTCAGGCCTATTTATCAATTTTGTGATGTATAACTTGTCCTCAATCTCACTCAAAGGATTCAAATTCATCTGGGTTTTTGTTTCTTCTTTTTTCCAGAGGGTGGAAAACTTCGTCAATATCGGTACGCAACAAACGCAAACCAAGACCCTGTTCTAAAGCCGCGGTTACACGAGCTTGCGATGGTGATGCGATTTTTTCACGGAATGAGTTTAATTCAAACAAGTTGATCAGCTTTTCTTGATACGCGCCATAACAGAAAAAGCTTTTGAACATCTGTAGACTCCGAGCGCTTCGCAGTTAGTGATATTTTCAATGAATCTTCGGATTGAAGTTCAAGGATTGTAAATTTTAATTTTATGAAAAACGAAGACGGTTGTCCTGTTATTTCAGTGTGAATCCTTGCATGTCTGCCAGTCGCTGGCGCCGCTTGTTGAAACTAAAACGAAAAAAAAAAACTCTTTTAAGATTATCATTGGCTTCTTTTTCACCCCACCACTATTCTTAGCAACAAAGATCGCCATTTCGTTTGTTTATTACTCGCCAAAAACTATCAAATGCACTCAAAAGCCTAATATCGAAAAAAATTTTACAGGAATCGACCAATCGAGCGAGCGAGCGAGTGCCATTCTCCACATCATATCTACAACTCGCTCTTGCGCATACGCGCAATTCACGAGTTAAAAAGGGAAATCATGATATCGTTTAGCAATATCTGTTTGCACAAAGCAATTTATGGGTTAGTATGCACCTTTAATTTGTGAGCGCGGAATCCAAAGGTCTGAGTTTCGATTCCTCATGGGGACTCAAAAGTTTTTCTTTGTCCCACGCTCGAGACAAGACGAAAATAACAACTTTCTCTACCTTAATTTGTAATTTGTTTTGCAAAACGGGCTTATTTGTAATTTGATCATATCTATATAGTTCATCTGAATGTATTTAAGAGACAAGTTTGACACTTCCAGTTTTGGAAAAAGTTAACGGTCATCATTTATGAATCAGTTATTGGAAATGTGTTAAAGCGAATAAACTTTAGCAACATACATTATGTTCCATGTTTTTCCTGATGGCATAGAAATAGATTGAAACTTGCTTTTAATCTTGGTCACGTCAAAGGGAACTTTGTAACAATTTCTGTGGGGAAAAAGCTTCGGAAAGAGGTTATCTTACCTAGAGCCTATTACTCCAAAGGTGCTCGTTATTGAAGTAAGGAATTGAAAACATAAAATGACCTGAGGGCCCAAACCTTGGGTACAAATCATTTACAATGGCAAAAATTTGGAGTACGGACTCCTTTCTAGGCGGGTCCGCACCCAATTTTTCTGCCGTATGCTTTTCATCTTAAGTTTTTGTTGTCTCTGCAACGTGAGTGTGATAAGTGCTAGTGAATGCGGGAGCTGTGTTCTTAGCGCCGGCGTGTATGTGACTGTGATAACTGGTGACAGCGCCAGCCCTTCGTGAGAGGGATTGACGAAGGGCAAACGCTCGAAACGTCAGCCTTTAAACTCTTTCCGGTGGCCAATTTACGTTTTCAACTCAGTTGTTAACACTAAATTACTTGCTATACTTTCCCACCGACGCAGCACCACAGTTTCTTTAGAAACTTACCCCCTTTATTTTTTGTGGAAATTCTGATTGTTCTTTGTAAACGAATGGAGTCGGAGTGGGGTCTGCGCCGATGGTAGGCTTCGTCTGTGACAAACAGGTGAAAGAATATGATTTGAAATATCTGAGTCACAGAAAAGGTGGATCTTGAATTTAGGCCTCAAATTGGTACAGCAAAAACATCCAGCAAATACATCCTGATTAACAGTATAGAAATGATCAAACAACAAATAAATCCTTTTTACGAAGAAAATCACAAAGTAGAGGTGCATACTAAACCCATAAAATATGTAATGCTAATCCCTTGATTTCCTTTTTTTTCCTCAATCATCTACTGAAACTGAATAGTACTATATTACTCCTTATGATTTATTCTATAGCCAGTAGAATACTCAAAATGGCATAGTTTCCCTTTTTGGCACAATGTGTTGGAAAGAGCTTAATAATCATGATAATAATAATAATAACAATGATTATAACAATAATAATAAAAATGATGATGGTAGCATTAATGGTAATAATGATAATAATAATAATGATAATAATAATGATAATGATAATATTAATACTGGACAGGAATTTAACAATGAACATTCCACTAGGTGGTTCTTCTTGTCCACTGTTTTCAGATCGAATTTGAATTTGGGGTATTGGCTTTTATAAGGGGCCAAAAGATTTTTCCTAAGTATTCGCCCGCTCCTCATGGAACTCAGGGTTTTCGTCCTTTTACATCTTTGATATCCTCACTAATTCTGGCTGCCTAGGTTTCCTATAGGGAAGAACCCCGTTTTCGATAGTTTCCTTTAATTTCCGTCCCTCTTAGCAATCAGACATATTTCGTTGCCCCGGTAATTATTAAATCTACTATCAAATCAACTATAGCAGTGATCCTCGTTGGTGAACAGCAAGTTAAGCCATTACTGGATAGAAGCCTGAGAAAAAATTCAGGCTTCGTCAAGATTCGAACCCAGGCCTCACGGATACTAGTAGAGCGCTATTATCAACTGAGCTACGAATCCATAGGTTAGGTGCGGTAGCAATTTCAAAGGTTTCCTCTTTTCCGTAGAGGAATTGCAGCTCACTACTAGAACTACTTGATTTTCATCCATAGGTCAAATAAAATTTGTTTCATTTAAGACTGTGATCTGGGAAAACTGTCACGCTCGCATCCGATTGGCTCATGAAACATGAACTTGTCAAACGAGGTTTCAAATTTTTCCGAGTCTGTGAGCGTCGTCCTCAAGTCGTACACATCGGAAAGTACTGAAAGTACAAAAGTAACCTTTTTTGAACGAAACAGTTTGAATAGTTTACCGTCATGGACCAGTACCATCCAATTAGTCGAGAGACAACCTCCCAAAGACATGGATGTGTTTGAAGTATGTAACAAAAGTGCTTAAACTACATTTCATTTGATCGCATGGCGGTAACGCTTCGCAGGAACCACTGCTGGTGTTAAGAAAACAGAAGGCGGCTGTGGGCAGTTTGCTATCTCATAATCAATAGTTTAAATCCGAAACCTTTAAAAGGTTCGAAGCTGCTGTGTGCCTCACACGCACACAGCAATGAGAGCCGAACTTATCATGAGTCAGCCGTTATCCCCATCTTGTTTTACATTAGTTTGCGTGGATCTTCTGTTTTGGGTCTTTGGTCCTCATTATGTAGCACCTCTTGAAAAAAGGAGAGCTTTCCCCCAACATGGCCACTCTTCCGCGAACGAAACCGAACATGAACGCTACTTATTTAAAACAAGCTGCCTTCGAAAAAACAGCTTTTTAAAGCGCAAACACAAACAAACAAGACCTTTGTGGGAGAAGTAACGAACAAGAATATTTTATCACCTATTTAAATCTATCAGTTATACTCTAAAACGTTTTTCTTCTTTCCCTAACGAACAAATTAGTTTGACATCTCTTTATAAATGTATGGAGATCACACTGATTGTTTTCTATGTATACTGACACTCGACAAAGCCTCATGCAATACTTCAGTAAAAATAATCGGGGAAAAAAATGATCGTTATTGACGTAAATAGAGAGATATATCAGAATAAAAAGTTTATCAATATTTCCAAAACTGATTCGAAGCTATCTGTATATTTTTGGAATTATAAGGCATTTTCCGAGGAAGAAGTCGATATCTTTCGGCAAACTTTTTGACCCAGTCTCCTTTTACCTAAATGGTTCTTAATTCACTTTTCTCATTTTGATTTCTCACGTGGTGTCGCAATGTCTTCTAAGACATGACTTAAAATTCACACGGTTCTCATTAAAAAAAAGCTAGCGCCTCTAAACGTACAAACTACTAACATTTCTAATCTATGTTAACTATTTTACAAAACCATGATTTTCTTTACATGCCATCATTATCAACCAGAAAATCTAAGTATTCAGCGCCTTTACGGATCGTATATATCAATTACAAGCTGTGAATTCCAACCCTCTTGCACGGCCTCAAAAGCAGATCGTATGGTGTATTCCAGATATCCACCGAAATCGTAATACGCTCTGTTCACTAAGAACACATCTTGTCCGTTCAGCGGTCGTCTCGCCCACTGCCGAATGGTTGTTGAGTTAAAGTTGGCCCCAGGCTTCTGAAAAAACCTACATCGTTGAATAATGAAAATGTAACAGCCATAAATGTTCTTACAAAAAAAAAAAAAAAAGCGCAGAAATGAACCTGTCAAAAGTGAGCAAAGTTGGCACTCGTTCGTTGGCACCTGACTTCTCTCTCCTTCTCAAGAGCTCTCTATTAGATATCCGCTGTACGTGACGACTGCAGGCGAAAAACCGAGGGCCGTTAGTTCGTCCACATCCACGCGCATTGCGTTCAGCAGATATCAATAGGAAAGCCTTTGCGGAAGAGGAAGTTATGTTATGAATATGCATTGAACAAACCCGAAAACTTGGAGCATGAGTTTTTAGCCAAAATGATGCATAACGTTCTGTTGACGAGGAAAAGGGATTACAACTTGAGAATCGAGGGGAAACTGTCTTAAGAACACTTCTGAGGTTTTTTATTTAAAAAAAAAAGCAATAATAAGCGATTATTATCCTTTTTTTTAATTATCATTTTTCAACACTGCACTTACCAAAACCCTTCCTGCCAATATTTATACGTAGTCTCCAAAGGATCGGGAATATCACGTTGAAACTTGTACTTCAGAGCGCGTTTCAGTTCTTTGTCGATAACATCATTGGATTTAGAAATCTCCAGAAGTTTCCCCCACTTATCGCTGCATCCTCCGTTATTAGCTATTGTGTGCAAGACAGCTCTTCCGCTGGTTCCATTACCACTATCATAAAAATAAAGAACAGGAACAGGTTTTCGAGTCATAAGTCACAGTAATCCAATATAGTTCATTGATTATTTTTGCACGAGGGTGATATATCAAAAAACATCACGTGGCTTAATTTGCTTCATCATGGTCTAGATCGGAAGTATCAGCGTGATATTTCCCAGTTCCTAAATGTTCAATTCCTATTAGAGAAAACTTTTGATGCTATTTCTCAGGTGGAATTAAACTTGCTTAATCGTAAGATATACTGGAGAATAGTGAAGAACTCACCTTTTTTTTAACTCAGAGGGAAGTTATGCACCGATCAATTCGATGTTTCAACATTACCTGGGGCATCCCAAAGAAATTTGACTGTCGTTCGTGACCCGGAGGTGGGTAATTCGAACCTTGTCTGAGTAGGGTATGTAATTTAATTCCGTGTAATAAGTGTTTTGAATTTAAAGGAGGAGTTTAGAAGCAAAGAGTCCCCTTTTGTGAGCGAATGGCTTAGAAGAAGACTTTCACATCGCAGAATGATGCTTACAAAAGAAAAAACCAACAACGGCACAAAAAAACTAAGTATGTGACTGCTAAATTCTACAACATTCGTTGATCACACGGAGAATCGTTTAATCAAAAATTGTGTTCGAGTGAGGCATTTGAACGCAATTTTGGCCCCGGGGGGTGGGAATTTGAACAAACTTATAAAGTTCAAATACCCGGGTGATTTTCACCGTGGAGATATTGACGCATTGTTTTGAAATTTTAAGGAAGATTGTTAAGATTTATGAGCACTAACTTGTAAGGCATGGTAATTCCCAAGCAGTCACTGCTGGATATGAACTTCTCCAAAGGCTCCAAGTTGTTGCTCTTTTGAGTGGCAGTTGTATCATTCCACCATGGTTTATCATATACCGCTGCTCCATAGAAAGCAGGCACACCAACAATTGATTCAAATATTTGATGACCTGTAATATTTCGAATGACGTCACCTTCGATCTTCTTCAGAGCAGCTGGTCCAACGGTGATAACTGTTTTATTGGCTTTCACAGTTAATTTGGTAGTTTGAAGAAGAAATTTATCTCCCTCTTTGGTGATGAAAGCAACTGTCTCTTTACGATAAAGTTTACCGCCTCCACTTTCCACTTTTTTGGTGAGCTCTTTGACGATTTCGGACATTCCTTTGGAATTAGGGGGCCTTCTCGCTTCTGATGATGTGGAGGTAACGTACTCTTCTTTCTTAAGATAAGCTCTATAACTCATTGGATTTATGGCTTGCATGTAGTCACCTTTGAAGCCGAAATTTTCTGCCATAAGCTTGGTTCCCTCCGGGGACAATTCGTACGAAAGGAAAGTCTCTGCGGTTGAGAACTGCGTGAAATTTCTCTGATTATTATATATGAAAGCTGCAGTTTCCATGAGTGTCTGATTCCTGAGTGGTGCACGGTCCCGTAAAGTTGGAAAGGCATTTAACTTCAAATCATCAAAGCTATTAGCAAACTGTCCACGAGCTTCGACGTGTTTAGTTTTTGGATTCCACAAGACGTCATTGTAGTTGAATAAATGATTTAAAAGGTCCCTGAAAATGAAAACAGAAATTAATTGAATCGTACTTTTTTCCTTCTAATTTGTGTCTACGTCGTAACTTGTTAGTAGTTTACATTCTGTTATAATCTCTCAATAATTTTAATTTGCAATGTGATGTTATGGTCTCCATTACTGGCCCTACTTATTCGTTTCTGTTTTTCCCCTTTTTCTTGGATGAAATAAATCAGAGTTCAGTCTGCGCGTGATAAACAAGTAACGAAAACTTGCCTCGCTCTCTCGAAGACAAACAAGTCCAGGCCGCAATTCACTTGTGAGGATCAGTTATTTTCTAGTAGCTCATCTATGCCTGGGTATCCTTATATTACATCTCAATATTTAATGGTCAGCATTTATACTCAAGGATATTTCTATGAAATGGCTCGGCGTAGTTTTGTACTCTTAACAATTTCTAGGTACCTTTGAGCATTTCAAAAAACTGTCACGATTCATATTTCTTGACCACCAGCTAAGTAACAAGTTTGAGATAAATTGACGCTTACATTTCTGCATAGTTGTCAGCGGAAATGTCCCACTGCCCTAAGCCTGAAAAAAAAAAAAAAAAAAAAGTCGTCGTCATAAGTTGGTGGAGCGAGTAAACGATGTAAAATAACTTTTAGTCCTTAATTCAACGATAGATAGCTATTGATTGCTACATAGATACAGCTTGATTCTGGTGTTATGTTAAACTTACCAACTACAACATCCGGTACTTGGGGAAAAACATGGTCATAAATGTTTTCAACGCTGTCCTCTGTGTCGAAGACGCAGACGTTTGTTTCATTAGTCTTGTCAAAAAGTGAATATGCCACCAATAAGCCACCCGCACCTATAAATTGAAAGAACAGACTTTAAAAATTGAAGAGATTATCAAAAGGGGTTTATTAATTTCCGGAGTGCAAATTTTACGATTATTTAGCTCAAAAGTCCTTAAAGTAAGACTATTAATCGCAAATGGCATTTCTAGCGATTAATAGTCTGAAAGCGTCTTCTATCACGAATAATAATCGTGGTAAGTACGACTATTAATCGCGTACAAACTCATTAATAGTCGTGTTTGACTGGCTTTTAGACTTAATAGTCGTACATCGCACGGTTAATAATCGCATCTGATAGCAAATGTCTTTATTTATCGCGAGGAAACGTACTCTTCTCCAAAGAAAGTTCAAGCTCAACCTTTTTCTGAACGGCCGCCATTACGACCAAAAATTCAGAATTCAGTATTTCTTCGCACATGGCTTTTTAGGCAATAAATGTCACATATTTGAAGTTTTCTCGGGTTCAAGTTCTCAGTGAACTTCATTTCTGTTCAAAAATGCGTTTACCAACAAAGTTTTCTTTGTTTTTCACTCTTCCACGAAGTACAGCGCGGGCTTACGGTGTTGTGAGAGACGTAATTAGCATTTCTTCTCGATGATAATGTACACAAATACGTTAATTTTTGACAGGTTCGATTAAATTGAAGTTTAACCGAGAAAAAATACAAACAAACAGCCAAGTAAGTCGAAGTACGTCGAATTCTTCCCAATTACAGCTTCTTGTGAAGCTGGACGTAAGTTTACGAGCAAGCGACAGATGAAAACGGCAGCGGTGAAGAGTGCCAAAGATGGAATATGGTAAAATTTTTTCATGCTTGGATAACTTGCATTCCCTTGCACTAGTAGTCTTGGAAATGCAGAATTGGAAATTGCCAGGCTTAATCCTTTGCAAGGAAGAAAAAGGCAAAGTTTAATTGATATCCTTTCCCCGTTTTGTTTTGAAGATACGTAATCCTAGAAAAAAATGCATTGCATTTATGTTGACATTTACACCTTTGGTTTTCACCACGACTGGCGGAATGGGAAAGGAGTGCTTGAAGTATCATAGCCGTTTAGCACAGCTGATTGCCATCAAAAAAGGGGAGCAGTATGCCAAAACCATCTCATGGATCAGAACCAGAACCTCATTGGCACTCTTGAGATCTGCGTTGGTTTGTCTTCGAGGCTCTAGGACAAGAAGAGTGCCATGTGACATTAAGAATGTTGATATCGACGTCGAAGTTGTTGAAGGAGCCATTAAATCGGACTATTGATGTGTTTCCTTACTTCATATATATCTTTTTATTTCATTATTATTATTATTATTATTATTTTTAGCAGGACTTTTAGGACGCTAGATTTTTATTTAGAGAAAAGATATTGAATATTGCATTTTATTTATTACTACTATTTAATGTTTTTATCGTTGTTGGTTCATGTTGAAACCGTGGCAGATTTTAAAGAGGAATTAGTGAAAAGATGTTAAATATTGGTAGTGATTGCTAATAGTAATAGTAATAATAATTAGTAGAGAAACATTTTCGTGGATTATAGTTCAAGAGATATTGAGACATATGATTTTTTCTTTTCTTTCTAACAGATGTTAAGGTACAAATTTAATTCTTTTTAAGTGAAGCACTGTACATAGGTCTTTTTTTATGAGTATTGAATAAAGATTATTATTACTAATAATTTATGTTGGCGAAGGAGAGAGAAATATTTGAGTCGCGGCCAAATTTCTCCACGCTGCCAGACTCTTTCCAAAACTAGTGCGTTTCCGAAATGGATTCCTCAAGGGCAATAGGGAGAATAATCTAACGGAATAGAAAAACCATTCGCGATTTTTTTTTGTGAAAACGTATTTTAGAGTTTGCAATGTCACGCCGATTCGGTGAGATGTTTGTTTTGTGATGGCGATATTTATTTAACGGCAAAATATAGTCGTTTTTTTTACTTGCAACTGATTGCAGGCAACAACAAGAACGGCTTTCCTTCATTTCTTTAAAAAAATAGCTATACTCTTTCATTCAATAAAGTTAAAAATTAAAAAAATATCTGACAATAGTGCGTGACCGTCGACTCAATTCATCGCTACGATTGTTTAGATACGAATTATTTAGATCAGAGCACATAATGTCGCATGGGTTATCATGTTTTCGAAACTTCTTTAATTGATGAGTTTGAGACTACACATACTAGAAACAGTCACAGAGATTTTGAGAGTATTCTTTCAGTTCATCGCAATAACCAAATTGACTCTTCAAGTTGGCTCTTTCCTAACCGCGCGAAAATCATGTTTTCGCGGGAAAAAGTTAAAAAGCTTTTCAGCTGACAATTGTCTGTAAGGGTCAGATTTATCTTTAATATTATTGTATAACTTCGTACCTTTGTTTTTCACTAGTCTCTGGAGCAGTACTTATGAACAACCACGTGTAGATTTCACCGGCTATCTCGCTTATTAAATTTGCAACGCCCCTTCCGTTTTCCGTCGATCGCCTCGATAAAAATCAGCCATCCGTCAACTCATGTATCCCCATCACCATTTCAATTATCTTCGACCACAATTTTACGTCCCTACTGTCTCCATAATCATGAATGTGGTAAAGACACCTTAGAGATCGAACACATTGCCAAAAGAAAGAGCTTCTATGGTGATCAATTGAAAAACTTGCTGTCAAACCTTGACCAATCACAGAGTGCATTTTGCTTCCTACCTTAATCGTGTCTAAAGTATGAGGGGCGATCTGCAAGGTCTCCCATCCACACTAACGATTGCAGAGGAAGTAGGATTGTAGGGGCGTAAAAGTGTGCACGAAGGAGAATTTAAACATAGAAATGGGATATTAGCGATTCATCAGTTGGCAGATTACTGGTTATTACTGAGGCTATTAACTGAAAGTGGGTTTGTTTGACAAAAATCGGAAGAAGAAGCGTTGCGCGAGATTGCTGGTGAAATCTACCTGTAGTGCTCATAACCGCTCCATGAAAGACCACTGTAAAACAAAGGTACGAAACTATATGATAAAACTAGTAGGGATAATTCCACTTAGTCTGTTTTCCAGTAATTGCAGCCGGATTCAAACTCCTCTGAAACTGAGAGAGCTACAAAAAATTATTAAATGAAAGAGCCACGATGGATGATGGTTTCTAAAATGCACTGTAGAATAATAATCACATCACTTCAAGCGGTGTGCAAAGTTACAGATGATAATAAGAAATCGACCATAAAAATAAAGCTTGTCTTCGCAAACAATTGCCAGCTGAAAAGCTTTTTTCCCGCGAAAATCCGATTTTCGCGGTAGGAAAGAGGAAGTCGAAGAGTTTTCTTTTTTAGGCCATGGCAAATAAAAAAAGAATACTCTCAAAATCTCTGAACCCGAGAAACTTCAAATATGTGACATATATTGCCTAAAATGGCATGTGCGAAGAAATACTGAATTCTGAATTTTTGGTCGTAATGGCGGCCGTTCAGAGAAAAGTTGAGCTTGAACTATCTTTGGAGAAGAGTACGTTTCCTCGCGATAAATAAGGACATTTGCTGTCAGATGCGATTATTAACCGTGCGATGTACGACTATTAAGTTTAAAAGGCAGTCAAACACGACTATTAATGAGTTTGTACGCGATTAATATTCGTACTTACCACGATTATTAATCGTGGTAGAAGACGCTTTCAGACTATTAATCGCAAGAAATGCCATTTGCGATTAATAGTCTTAGTTAAAGGACTTTTAAGCCAAATAATCGTAAAATTCGCTATGAAAATATCAATACACTATCTGAAAACGTGACAGGGGTATTATCTGAATGTATTATCCTAATATGATGATAAATTCTCTTACTTCCTTAAAAAGAAATTTATGGCAAGTAGAAAAAATAGAGGGTTAAGAGACTTGAACAGTACACGTTTAAGATACTCAAGAGTAACGATCCCTTGCAGAATTTGATGCCAAACGGTGGTATCAAGTTCTCACCTGCTCCAACTATGGCTGTGTCGCACTCTAAAATATTTCTTTGGGGGTCCGTGGTCGGTGCTGCCGTTGTTGGCCCAGCAGTTGATGCAGCAATAGCAATAACTGCGGCAGTAGTTGTTGGTTTTTCGGTGGTTGTTGGAGCAGCACTTGTTGGTTTTTCAGTGGTTGTTGGAGCAACAGTTGATGGTTTTTCGGTGGTTGTTAGAGCAGTAGTTGTTGGTTTTTCTGTGGTTGTTTTAGCAGTAGTTGTTGGTTTTTCTGTGGTTGTTTTAGCAGCAGTTGATGGTTTTTCTGTGGTTGTTTTAGCAGCAATTGGTGGTTTTTCCGTGGTTGTTGGAGCAGCAATTGATGGTTCTTCGGTGGTTGTTGGAGCAGTAGTTGATGGTTTTTTCGCGGTTGTTGGAGTAGCAATTGATGGTTTTTCTGTGGTTGTTAGAGCAGCAGTTGATGGTTTTTCGTCCGTTTCTTTGGTTGTGCCAGAAGATTCTGTTGGTACTGTGGTGGACTCTTCAGCACCTGATTAAATAATAAAAAAGTTAAAACATTTGTGTAACTTTGTTTTGTTTTGTTTTGCTTTTATCTAGGAAAAATTATAATAAAATAACTTTTCACTTTTTGCCCTCATTGCCAAGATAACTACAAATGACTCTGACGGCTAAAAATTTTAAGCGATGCAGTGTTTGACGCTTCATAGCCTCGTTGCGTAACGTGACGAAATTGCGTAACATGACGACATTGCGTAACAACATAGTAACACCTACACGAAATCTGTCAAAACTGAAAAAAAACTGATCTCATAACTTCCCGTTGATTGTTTATTAAGATAATCGTCGAAGTGAAATATATCTATGTAGTAATTTTTATCTATGTAGAAGTCAGTTAAAAGAATTTTTAAAATGTATTAATGAGAAACTGTTTCTTGTAGATCTTTCCCTAAGTACGCTCTTGCGTTTAGAAATGAAAATCCTCATACAAATAATGTAAAAAATATTATCGTAGAATATTTTCAATGATGATCATGGCACAACGCAGATAGAGGAAATGTAATAGGTGAGACAAGTCACGGATTATCCTTGTCGACAAAAGTAATATCACCTGCTACATTATATTCAAACTTAATCTCCGTCCAACCGAGGTAATGTACGATTTTTTAATAAATTACCATATTAGAAATAACAATATATCGCTTAAACTCTGAACGTAACTGCGTTAAATTTATTTCATCTGAAATCCAGAAGATTTCTGGTGTTTTAAAATCCTCCTTTTGACAGATTTCGTGAAGATGTCATTACGTTGTAGTTGTGATCGGCCATCCGTGAAAAGGAGGCGTCAAATGTATTTTGTGGAATCTGTCATATAGATTAGCAACGGAAAAAAGTGCAAATATCTTAACGCTAATACAAAGTCATGAGCGAAAACGAAGTAAGTGTTCCTTACTACTCTATTTTGCGGCTCTAAAATGCGAAATAGGGCCTTCATGACAACATCGGGCGAGCTCGGATTTCGTCATCAGAAATCTACCCGAGATGACCTCCTGGTGTTTTAACATCCTCCTTTTGACAGATTTCGTGGAGGTCTCACTATGTTGTAGTTGTAATCGGCCATCTGTGAAAAGGAGGCATCGCAAAAATTTTTTGGAGTCTGTAATATAGGTAAGCAACGGAAAAAAATGCAAATATCTTGACACTAATACGAAGTCATGAGCGAAAACGAAGCACGTGTTCGTTTCTACTCTGTTTTACGGGTCTAATATGCTAAACAGGGTCTTCATCACAAAGACAACATCGGGCGAGCTCGGATTTCGTAATCGGAAATCTACCCGAGATGACCTCCTTCTGACGGATGTCGGAGTACGTTTTCCGATCTGGAAATTTCCGATCTGTCCAAGGACGTTTTCTCAAAGCAGCTTATCAGTCTTATCACCGCTTTATGTCTAAAGTAAGTATTTGAGGGGCTTGGCATTAAAATTTCAAATTCACAAAATTCTTTCTGTTTCTTGAGATTCAGTGCAATAAGAATGGCATTGTCATCAACAATGAAATCATATTTAGGCAAATATGCTTGAGAAGTTTATCTTTACTACTATTTTTATCATCCCAAATGGTTCTGAAATACGGATTTCCCGGTGAAAATACGACAGAATTGACAACTTTTCTTTCGAGTTTGCTTAATACTTGTGCAATGTTTTGCTTCGGAGCAGTATACGACCTTTAATTCCGATCCAGTAATGGTATGCGATGCATGCTTGTAATCTTCATTCATTGACGGTAATATACAATATCCTTACATTTCTCTTTCTTGTCGAAGATCACTCATTGTCTTTACAAATCATCATAAAACCCGCCATCTACAGTTTTAGTTGGCACGTTTTAGAATGTAACAGTTTGCCTCTGTAACATTGAAACGTGACCACAATTTTAAAACAATTTCCTGTGTCATAGCTATAATTAGTTTTGGCGTTGAAAGTTCACATTTTTGATTCGATAATTGAATTTTTTGTACATTTCACTGTCATCTTTGATCATTTGATCATGATTTATTATATATGCATAGAATGTCCTCATGCAACGCGCAATCAAATCGTCTCATGAGAAAGAGCCAAAGCTAGATCAGTATACCTGTCTGTAAAGAAACGGAATTAAAGCCAAAATGAAATAAGGATGAAAACTCAAAGGTTATCCCGTCTAAGGGTTTCGAAATTTGAAATTAGGAGATCCTCGCAGCTAAGAACACTACTGAAACTAGTAGTTGTAAGTAGGACCTGAAAAAAATTTCAGGCCCGTACGGGATTTGAACCCATGACCTCTGCGATACCGGTTTCGAAATTATCTCGAGGTCTTGATTTTCTAGCAGAATTGTCCTAATATCCACTTTATCCTGAGCAAGCTAAGTTGAAATCACGAAACATTGCCAGTCCTATACACCTCACACTTATGGAAAGCTTATGAAACAAGAGCCTCCCTAAGAACATAAAATGCCGAGGCAGAGTAAATTAAACGCTTACAATAATTTACTGAATGAATTACATAAGTCATGCATGCTGGTAATCACACCTTGAAAGGATTATAACCTTCGAAACCTGGTTTTTGTATCAGTCCTCAGCTTCTAATTTTGCATATATATATATTTTTTCGTATAAGATAGGCTTGGGCCGGCGCTAAAACAAGAGAGGCGTGCCTTTGGACCTTTCGCCAGCTTGATGACAATTATGAACAATACACAAAATACTGGTTCCTGATAAACTCAACGTGTACAGTTACCTTTACAGCCGCCTTCAGGAGTGTCTGATCCGATTCTTTTCGAGTATTTCATATCTGGACTTCTGGCAGGGCCAAACATTGCGATTATAACTACTAGTGCACCAATAATGACGATTATTATAAACAGGAATAGCAGAATATGCCACACGCGAAAAGCACATTTTTTATGGAAACAGTCACAGCACGAGAAAGTGCATCTCTTTTTTGAATAATACTCCTGTTTCGTCATGTCGTATCCTTCTTCGCATATTCTTAACGTTGTCGAGCTGTCGAATGTCTGAATGTTGGACATTTTCGTGCGATTTCTGTTCAAATCTAAACAAAGTTTGCTGAACTTGACTACATTATAGTGTCGCAAGAAATTTGACTCTAAGGTGGTAACCCTTTTGATTTGAATGGAGCGCGCTTTCTCCGCCCAGATGACAGGCAGAAGCTACTGTAAACAAACAACTATGGAATACTTCTAAATTGTTTTAGTTTTTCTCTTTGCCTTTTAGCTCAATGCTGCATTCCTTTTCAAATATCACAAGACTTTGTAATAGTCACTCATTTCTACTTCTGAAACAGACCATATTTGAAGAATTATCATGGTCACGGCGTTTTCACGCAAATCCAGCTCCGGTCACACAATAGATGCTACGTGTATGCATGTAGAGCGTACATCAAACATTGTTAGCTTAGGTAATCTCTTTGACACTAACTTTACATGGAAGACTTGATTAATTTTGAAGTGTGCCTTTGACATACCATTTTTGTATTAAAACTGACATGAACTTATTCAGGAGTACAAATTGGTATAATTTGAGATGTCTTAAAAAACAACGGCCGCCACATTGGCGCTTGTTTCCATCTTTCTCAAGTGTTCTCAAATAAATGAATGATGATATGACAACTTAATGCATAGTTTTGGTTTTGGTTTTATAACATACCGGCTTCTGATGTTGTCTTTCTTTGGTTTCAACCTTGACACAACCGAAGCATCAAAGTAGAGGCTTTCTAGACGGTGAAAGACATGTTTTTATTAGGCAAAAACGCCCATAACCTAAGGTTACGGTACTCTCGAAATCAAGAAGCCTTATTTTTTTTGAGGTGAGTCACGAGTTTTCTTGCCTGAGTGTGCGTCTTGCGTCGACTCTGCAGAAAGCTTTATGATGAATTGATTGTAATATTTTTCCCTTTTTTTCAAAAGCATTTTCATTAGTCTTTATCTCCCAAGATAAATGATTCAGCCCATATAAATAGGCTATAACTTCGAAAAAGTAAATTTTGCGAGCAGCAAATAATTTTCGATTATTTATCACCTAATTTATTGAAGTTAAAAAATTGCCGATTTCCTCGTTCAGCGACAACCGAGTGAGCAGGAAAGAAGATAATAAATTTAGATGTTATCTTGAACGTAACTTTGATCTACAAATTAGCAGTTTTGTACGGCATTGGGTAAAATATGGACTGGACTAATTTTAGGCCTAGCGCTAAAAATTTTGACATACAAAAAGTCAGTCGAAAAGCCAATTAAAATAGTTTGTACGATCGAGTAAAAGCTCTATTAACAAGTAGCGTTTACTATTACAACAACCTGCACCTCCCACCCCTCCCAGCGTAGTCTCTCAAAAGAACGCAGTGTTTGGATTCTTGCTCAAACTGCTTGAAATGTCTACTGCACATCCACAGCCACTCGAGCCCTCATTCGCTCTTACAATCTGCGAGGATGGAGATCATGTTACGAAAGACAGATTATCTTCCGCAAGGTGCGATTGTTGTCACAAAAGATATCTTATATGCAATTTTCGAGTGTGGCAACTTCTGCTATTGCTGTTTGCAATACTCGTCATCATGGGCGGAATAGCAGTTCTAGCTGCAATCTTTGGTTCCGGAAAAGCCACTCTTGAAGAAGATTTTAGAGGTATTTAAAATTAAATATCTCATTTAGAAATTAGTGACTTTTTAAGGTTACGAGTTGTGGCCGCACGTGTTTGTATTGAGGAAGCAAGAGGTTAGTTTAAAATTTTGCTGTGCCGTTTTGAGGCCCAAATGCAAGATCCACCCTTTCTGTGACTCAGGTGAAATCATATTCTTTCGCCTGTTTGCCACAGATGAGGCCTGCCTTCGGCGCAAATCCTAATCCGACTCCATTAATTTATTAGGAACAATCAGATTTTCCATAAGATAAACGTGAAGTACGTCATGGTGTTCAACATTTTTATCATATTTTTAATCAAAGAAACTTATCTGCTTAAAATACTTAGTGTTGTTTTCGACCCTACAGACACTCTTCAACCTCAGTCAAAAGTAAATCTTGTTTTTCTTATGATGTAAGTATGGTTAAAAGTTTGCTGTAGTCAAGCAACTCTGATAAGCATAATTTTTTTCCAATGTCGATGACTGGACCTAAAATGTTTCGATTGTGTAACAAACCAAATTAGTTGACTGACAACCGGAAATCGTTTTTGTATGAGACTAAAGAATCTGCTATGTTCCGAAACTTCACGTTTTATTTTATAAAATCAACTTAATCTCCCGCTCTCTCTCACCGTTCTCTGTCTTTCGCTCTGGTCTCTCTCATTTTTAAATATATAATATGATCCTATTGTTCAATCATCTGTCACTTATCGCAAAAAATCAACCGGAAATCAATTAACGCTGAATAATCTCTCACACACTCCCCTGTTTTTCTCAACGGAGAAAAACACTAGAATGGCGCGCTCGATAAAATTTGAAATTCAATGAACGAAACAGAAAGTTAGTCCAGTATATCAGTTCAGTGTTCCTAAATATCTCTAATCGGCATCAATGTTCGCATCTTGAATGCGATAACGAGCGGCTACCGCTGCGTCCCTCCTGGGCCTGAATGTCGGGGCTAAAGGGTTGAGCTGCAGAGGAGCCTGTACATTCTCCCGATCGCAGGACAGCTCCAGTGGGTAAAGGTGTTGTACCGCCCGTTCAAGTGTTCCTTTCCCCGCTCGAAGTTTGGCAGCTCGAACGATTCCGTCTCGTCCCGAAATCAGATCTTCCACGATTCCAATTTTCCATTTATTGCGATTTCGTTCCTCGTCCTTGATGATGACTACCTCTCCTTTGGCCAAGGGCGTGGTTTGACCCTTGTGTTTCATCCGGTGTCGTTCTCTCAACCCTCGTAAATATTCGGTAGTCCACCTGGTCCACAAAGCCTGCTTGCACCTTCGCAAATATTTAGCTCTTCTACGCAGATCAAATTCTCTTAGATGGTGTGGTTCCAGTTCTGGTAGCTGGTTTGATCGAAGAAATAGCAGTGAGTTAGGGGTAAGCACGGGTAACTGCATGTCGTCTTCGACGTAACATAAAGGGCGATTATTCAAAGCAATCTCCACATCCAGTACCACTTCACACAGCTCTGTCCAGGTCAACATTCCGCATCCGATAGTCTTGTTTAAAGCTGTTTTTACCAGTGCGATGAGGCGCTCGAACTGTCCTCCCCACCAAGCGGCGCGGCTGAGGTTGAATTGCCACTTGATGTTCTCATGTGCTAAGTAATCTTGTGTCTTCTCGTCACGCATAACTTGTTTGAGCCACTTCTCGGCGCCAACAAAGGTTTTGCCATTGTCGGAATATATCTTCTTCGGACGCCCACGGCGCGCGATGAGCCGTTTTAGACTTCTTAGGAATTCACTGGTTGCCAGGTTTGGTAGTACTTCCAGGAATAATCCTCGGGTAAGACTGCACGCGTACAATGCAAGATAGGCCTTTCCTTCTGTTTTGGCTTGTAAGTCACTTGGTAAGGGCCTATCCCATGCGATCTTCGTGTCGCAGGCATCTCTGTAGAGCATTTTTCCAGAGAGGGTCACGGGTGAAGCCAGACCGAGTGGATCGTAGATTTTTGCGACTTTTCCAAGAATACCTCTTTTAGTCGGCTCAGCGGTTGAAATCGGGAAGCTGACTTGAATTTCGTCCTTTTCTTTGTCCCAGGGGACTCCTAGCAGTTTTGATTCGCCCTTTCTGGTTCCCAGTTGTTGTTTGGCGTAACTCTGACTTTCTTCATCTACAGTCGCAGTTTCAACTTCTAGTTCCCGATCGTTGGAATGCCACTTGTGCAGCTTGAAAGTCGCCTCACCAAAGATGGTCGTGGCTGTCATCTTGATTTCTAACGCTCGTTCTGTTGTCTCCCCACCACTGATTAAATCATCCACGTACATACTGCGCTCTATCTCCTCTACTAATTCCGGGTTCACCATTTTGTATCGCTGTAGATGTTCTTTGATAACTGCGGCCAAGAGGAATGGAGACGGTGCCAAGCCAAAAAGTACTCGAGTGAATCGCAAGGTATCTACTTGTTTGCTTGCCAGATCCTTTATCCAATGAAAGCGTAAGGCATCTCGGTCTTCTCTTCGGACGCGAATTTGCAAAAATGCTTGTTTTAAGTCGCCAGCTATTGCCACGGGATAGAACCTATTTCGTACCAGCACGTTCCAAAGCTGGTTCTGTAGTGGAGGGCCGATTTCGAGGCACTCGTTGAGTGAGGGGACACTTACATTAGCTCTTGCAGAAGCATCATAAACAATGCGTATCTTTGTAGATTCTGCATTCTCGCGCACGACCGCTTTATGAGGAATGTAGAACTCTTTTCCGTCCTTGACCACCTCGTCAGCGTGTTCTACGATCCCTTGGCTCAGTTGAGTCTGGATAATGTCGTTGTACCTCTCCAGCTCGCCTTGTATCTCTAACTTCCGCACGAGATTTTTGAGACGTTTTAAACTTCCAGTGTGATTGTTCGGTAGGGGGGGGGTGATTTCCTTTCCAGGGCAAGTTCGTCTCGTACCAGCCTTCTGAACTCCTAGTTAGTTGCTCTTTGAATTCTTCGTAAACGGTTTCCTGGTCTCCACTTGGATTGTCCTTTAACCCCAAGACGTCTAACTTGCACAATTCTTCGTAATCAATTGCGGAGGTCTGCGTTAACAACATGTTGCTGAGATCCAACTCTGTTCCAGGTGACAAGATCGTCCAGCCGAACTTCGTGTATTCTGCTACTGGTTCTCCCGAGCGCCCAACTCTTGGTCTTGCCCCTGTTTTGATCTTAGCGTACTCGTTTGTTCCAAGGATCAGATGAACAGGCAACATCGCTTTCTCGTCGTTATCATTTGTGGCTACGCCCTTCAAGTGAGAAAACTGAGCTACGATTTCTGCGCATTTTGGGTTTTCCAATGTCAACAACTCATTGCGGTCGACTTTGTTTACTTCGGCTTCTAAGGTGAATTTACCATCAACGCTTCGAATTTGTAGGCCATAGATGTCTATCGCTTTGTTTGAAGTACCAAACATCATTTCAATGCGCTTGAATTGTTGACGGATAGGGCGCAAATGT